TTCTGTTGTTTTAATAATTTTCTTCATTCTAGCGAGTAGTGAATTATTGTCGTTGTTTTTCTCTTGTGTAATGTGAGAATACGTGTGAATTTTAACATATTGCTTGGAGTTATAAAGAGAAATTATTACCCATGGATAACCGTGGATACCCAAAACCCGAACAGGTATGAGCATGGTTTTGATTTTCTACCCCTTTCTTATGTGGGTATGAGTATGGGTAAAACCCAAACTACTTTGGGTAGGGTAACAGATATAAACTATCTGCCTCCGACCCCTCTCGTTGCCATCCCTATGCATACATGCATCACTATTCGCTAGTCAGTGCTTTTTTTTAGAATGATATTGGTTTAGTTTTTAATTAGATATTATTTAAGAGATTAATACCTGCGACCTCTAAATTCAAAATAATTTATAATATCACTAGACCTTTTGATGTGACTTGAATCGGACTATGATCTGGCGCTACGACTTGATGTCACGGGGGTCCAGGGGCGGAGCTACCTTGTGTCTCGGGGGGGCCCCGGCCCCCCGAGAATTTTGGAGATCGCGTGTAAAAATATCGGGAATTTTGAAAATTCTGAAGAAGTTAACTATTGTAGAATAACAATAACGAGCAATAATGAGTAACAATGTTTGGGTCTAGTCTAACGGAATGCAGCAGCTGCCTGGTATTTGTGAATACCTAGTACCATGGTTCAATCCCTGGCTTTTTCTAAATTTTGAAGCTTATGACTCGCAATGTAAATATTTTCTTAATTTTTTTTACGGATATTATACAATAAAGTCCGGCCCCCCGACAACTGGATCCTAGCTCCGCCCCTGCGGGGGTCCATGGTGTATGAGCTCAATGTTGTTTGGGTTCGAGTTTTGGGCATGGTATGTAACCGCTTTTTCTTTACCAAATTGGATTAGGGTTAGACCATGGAGAAGTACTATAGATACTTCTCATACTCCTTTGTAATCTATATCTCCTCAAAGTATAGTAAAACTGGCTCTCTCCTGCACGTGGACTAGTTAACACATATTGTGTTAGTAAATCACGCAAATCATATGTCGTGTGCATTCTTGTATTTCGTTTTATTACTTTGTCGAATTCTCTCATTTTCCAATCAGCTGAAGAATAGTTGTCCACTAGTCAGGGTTGATATTAAAAATACCTCATATATATTATATACTATACTAGTTCATTGTTCAAAATTCAGACTTTGATATTGTTAATCTAAAGTGTGAAGACCCAAGTCAACCGTCACGTCACGTCACATAACACATTTAGTCTTATTCGTCTTCTTGCTCCTTTCACCTTAATTTGAGCAGACCTTCGCGCTGAGTTCTATAATCAAATAATGAAATGACTTGCATGGGAGGCAACCCCACACGTGGGTGGTTAGTCCGCGAATTGATATTGATCCACCCGCAAATAACTCGACTCGTACGTAGTGGGTGATTGATGTGGGTGGATTGATCATTGATAAATCTCCCACTCGCACTTATGTGGATGGTTGGTGGCCTGGTGGGTGGATTGCGGGTCACCCGTATAACCCGCATCCTAATTTTACATGAAAAAATGTAATTTCTTATAGTATCGAATATTCATCATATTTTTGAACTGCACAACAGTCTAACCATATACTTCAAAATGTAGAGAATAAAGAATAGTTTTTACTCCTACTATTATTGGTTATTGTGTTTTGCAATATTCATTAGAAATTGGATATTAGATTATTAGTATGCAAATTATTGTTAATATCCATTAAATATTGGGTTGCAAATTATAAATTATTAATTGTATCAAAATAAAAAATTATTGATACAATCTTACTAATTTGCTCTAGTTGGAGAATTGCTTTTGCGGGTTGACCCGTGATCCAACCGCACCCATCCTTGCAAAAGTATGTGGGTAGATTGCGAGCCACAATTATTCCAACTTGCTAGTAAGCGGGTGGGTCAATTTGAGACCAAAATCCACCCAACATGCTCATTGCCCACCCCTACTTACAAGAGAGTGGAGACCGGATTGAATTATTTTTTTGGTTAGAGGTGTAAATGGGAGGGTAGCAAATCTTGGATGCAAAGCAAAGTGCAAACACAATTTTCATGAAAATTCTACTTGTTTCAATTATTTATAGTGGCAGGGGAGTAAGTGGAGTGCAGTTCTGTTGATTGACTCGAATTTGTGTTGAAAATTATAAAGAAGAGATGTTTTTGTTAAACCTGGTTTGATATGTAAGTTTCACTCAATTTAACTATCAGTCGACAAATCAATGCTTGAGTGGGAGAAATGCGCTAGCTATATATGTCTTGGTCAAGGGTTGGCCTTCGAGCTAATGATTATTACAATTGTTATAATTCACTACTATTTATGTATTGCTATCTTAATAATTATTTTTATTAAAGTATAATTAATAGTATGGTTATTATATAAATTTATTATTTATTATTTTGTGATAATCTTTTATAAGTTTAACAAATCTATTTTATAATAATATAATTTGCTTACTTTTTATCATATTTGCATCTTTTACTTATTCATTCCAAACAAAAAATTTCTACTCCACTTACACCCTCACCAATTTTCACCCTTTATAATTTACCATGCAGCTTGCACCACTCGAATTTGCATCCCTAATTGTCAAACAGAGTGTATTAATTTGTCTGCATGTCAAAATCAAAATTTATAGCTAGAAGAAGTTAAAAATTTAAGATTATAGTAACTTCTAAGATTTAATCCAGATTTTGCGAAAGGGGACAAATTAATAGCTTTCATTCGGTCACTTTTTCAATAATTTTTTTAATATACGATTATACGAATAAACATATTATAACCTCATGTTAAATATTAATAACTCTTCCAAAATTACATTTACGTAGTACCCCACTGCTTGATGGTGTGACTTAATGAATAATGAAATTCTAAAGAAAGGATTATAAAGAGAATTAAGATAGAATCGAGAAGCTTCGGCATGGAATTAAGAAAACAAATGAGGAAGAATTGAGATCGGAATGAAAGAATAAAAGAATGAAGAAGAGACTTAAGTAATTCGACCTATTACTCTAATTCACCTAACATAATAAAATATTGAACTACCCTACATTATTTCTCGATCGTTTCCTCATGACCCAAGCAGGATGATATCATTATTTATTTTTCTACGGTTTGAAGACTAAAACTCCGACATAATCATAGTTGTAGTCATTATTCTACTATTATAATCGCTGTTTTTTTCTAGTTGTAAAACTACAATTTGATGTAAACTACCACAATTCACAATAGTGTGTTATTAACCACCTATATAGTTAGCACCGTAGTCGGTTTCCACTTTCAATCCACCTAAAAAATATAATGCGTTGGAAGTTGGAAATGAATTCGCTTCAATTAATATCTGTTGACATGTAACCATGGGTTTTGAATAGTGAAATTATTATGAATTTTGATTCATTATGTAAATAATTGAAGTCAAACTTTTTTTTTTCCTCCGACGACTGTAGTCAATAAGCTATTAGACCGATGTTAGGTAAGATTTAGGTCACCCAATTCGCCTCTCTACCCTCCACGTTCCCGCTCCAGATCGCCAAAACGCGATTTTTTGGGAGTTCGCCAAAAATTCGCGAATTATGTTTCATGAGAGCGCGATTTGTGATTTTGAGAGCGCGTTCTCTCAGCGAACTCAGAAGGATAACTTTGATCTTCTTCCTCTTCTTGTCTTTTGTCCCTTGAATTACATTTTGGGTCTATTCTTCAAAAGCACGACTCTGTTCAGCTGTTGGGTCAAGTCCCCCTGGTCTCAAAAGAAGATTTAGAACAAAGGGGAGAAAGAAATTTGCGAGTTCTATGGCGTTAGAGATGCATGCAGCAACATCAATCTCATCAGTGGGGGAGGGCAGCCTGGTGATAGAATGATGAGGCGGTTGAGAGCTTGTGGTTCTGCGTTTCTGGATAGCAGATCTTGCGCTTGGGTAGAGAGCTTCGATCGGCAAAAATGGAAGAAGGTGGGCGGAGAGGCTTTTCGACATCATCTGCGCAGACTTTCTAAAATCTTACCCTCCCCATCCCTGATTGCTTGCTTGGATTGAAGAGATGCTATAATTACTGCTATTAATTTGTTCAAGAAGAGGAAGGAAGGGGAGAGAGAGAGCAGAGAGACATCGAGAAAAGAATGGTTGGGGAAGATGTGAAGAAAGAGACGTTTTTTAGGGGAAATTCTTGCGTCCAACCCCCGTTGGAGCTAGAGGCTCCAACCTGCCATTTGGCAGCCACATATTGGCCAATCAAACTTCCTTTTTCTCTTATTTTTTAATCCTTTTATATTAATCACATTATGAATTAAAAAATGAAAAAGAAAAAAAAATAAAAATTGGACGGAAACGGCAGGGAGACGGAGGGAAGCTGGGAAGGCAACTTTTGGATTCTAATTTAATTAGGTCATCTCTTAGGTTTATATGTTCTTCTATAGGAAAAAATTGGCTGCAACAAAAAAAAAAAAAAACAAAAAGTCGACGGCAAGCACAGACGAAATTGAGGCAGCAAAGAGTTCTTCCGTATTAGCAACGAAGAGGTAATTTGATTGGGAATGCTCTGCTCTTATATGTTAATTTGCTTTCGATGAAAAGCTGTATATAGGTAGACCATAGTAGTAGTAGCAGCCATGTGTGGTGATTGTGCTTGGGAATTCTTTGCTCTTTTATTTTTGTTTATTTGATTATTGATATTATAAGTTAATGGCAGTATACATGCATGGCTACACCTGTACGCATCCTTCCTTTTAATAGAAGTACTTTTCCATGCTTTCCCATCAAACAGCTTCTTGTTTGTTCTTTTGAGTGGGACTCCTCAAATCGAAGCTTGTTCTATTATTGAATGCTTTAAAGTCTAAATGGCTTTCCACCAAATATTATTAAACCTTTTAGCCATATGGTGTTCTGCAGATATGAGTTCACAGGCAGGGAATGAAGAACAAAATTATCCTATGATGCGCGGACATAATCAAGTACCAGAAATTGGGATGAAGTTTGATTCTGATGATATGGCTTATGCATTTTACAGTGCATATGCACATGGTCTTGGATTCAGTGTAAGAAAGCAGTTCATCAAGCGAACTTCAACAGGAGAAGTAAAAAGAAGAACATATACATGTGCTAAAGAAGGTAAAAAATCTAAGATGAAAAAGGGAAAGCAGGTTGCTTACGAACGACCAATTACCAGAATAGGTTGTTTAGCAAAGATGACATGCAAACTGCAGAATGATGGTTTGCTTGAGGTTATTTCTTTTGAAGCAAACCACAACCATGATTTGGCTCCCACTCCGATGAAGCACATGTTGAGATCGAATAGAAAGATCAGTTTTGCTCAGAAAGCTATTGCAGATGATGCTGAAAAGGCTGGGCTACCAACCAAGTCGGTTATTAATTTACTAGCAGTGCAGAATGGGGGTCGGGAGAACAATGGATTTCTAGACAAAGACTACTACAATTATATTGATTCTCAGAGAAGGGCTAGACTGATTAGGGGTGACGGTCAAGCTATTATGGATTGTTTTCAAAAATCACAATCAGATGATCCATCATATTTTTATTCAGTGCAACTTGATGATGATGATCTTATTATGAATATGTTTTGGGCAGATAGCAGGTCGATACTTGATTACAAGTACTTTGGAGATGTTGTATGTTTTGATACAACCTACAGAATTAACAAGTATGGTCGCCCTTTTGCTCCTTTTGTTGGAGTCAATCATCTGAAGGAGACAATAATTTTTGGGGCAGCATTACTATATGATGAAACGATCACATCATTCAAGTGGTTATTTGAAACCTTTCTGAGAGCAATGGCAGGAACACAACCCAAGACTATATTAACAGATCAATCAGCTGCTATGGCCAAAGCCATTGAAGAGGTACTTACCGAAACCCATCATCGTTTATGTGTTTGGCATATTTATCAAAATGCTGCTAAACACTTAAGCCATGCATTTCATGCATCTAGCCAATTTGCTGTTGATTTTGGTTCATGTGTATATGATTATGAGGATGAGGATAAATGGTATGAGGCTTGGGATGCTATGCTTAAAAGGTACAATTTGGAGAACAATGAATGGTTGCATGGAATTTTCTTAGAAAGAGAAAAATGGGCCATGGTTTATGGGCGACATATGTTTACTGCTGATATGATGAGTACACAACGTAGCGAATCAATGAACAATGTGTTGAAGAAGTACCTGAAGCGAAAACACAACATGGTGTACTTTTTTGAGCACTATGGGCGATTGATAGAAGATAGACGCTATAAAGAGCTCTTGTCAGAGTTCAACATGAGGAACACCAGCCCAACATTGAGAGCAGATGTTGAGGTGTTAAGACAGGCATCAGAGATCTATACTCCTAAAGTGTTTCTAATGTTCCAAGAAGAATACCTCAAAGTTTGGGATTGTACCATTGATAAGACTAGCAAAACAGAAGTTCAAGTGGTGTATAAAGTGAGATATGCTGGTAGAGGGACAGAGCACCAAGTCCGATTTGAGCTTTCTTCTCAAGTTGTTGAATGCAGTTGCAGAAAGTTTGACTTCGTGGGGATTCTATGTGCTCATGCTCTAAAAGTTCTTGACAAGAAAAATATAAAGCACATTCCTAAGCAGTATATATTGAAGAGATGGACAAAGGATGCAAAAGATGGACAAATTAGTAGTTCAACTCAAGCTCATGGAGAGTCTAAGGAGCTTATTGGGAAGCGCTACTTGAATCTTAATTACAATTTTCGAGAGATATCTAGCCTAGCAGCTGAGAATGGCACTATGTATGAGCACACATTTGGAGTACTATCAAATTTGCTAAAAGATTTGCAGGGGATGAAAAAATGCTCACATGGTGGAACTTCTAATGAGTCATTATGCTCGAAAGGTGAACAAGATTATCCAATTGTAGCTGGAGTTAAGACCAAAGCTACATTTGGACAACCGAAAGGCAGACCAAAAGGTGCATTGGAGCGAAGAAAAAATCGTAAAAGTCAAACAAAGCCACAGGTTTGCTTCTTCTTTTGAAACAATTTTACTTCCTTTCAACTAACACTAGTTATACTATATATATGTCCTTCATTCGTCATCTTTGCTTCTCGATCTTTACTGAGAAAATTTCTTTATTTAATTTCTCTTCTCTAATAGCAAAAAGGAATTCTATTACATTTTCCATTATATGTGTAGGGTAAAAAAGTGAAAGGAAGTTCTTCTCAACAAGTTGAAAATAATCCTGAAGTTCATGGTCTAAAGAATCAGGTAATTGTTTGAGCTTTTCCTAATTTTAGTAAAAGCAGAGTGTAGTATGTTTGTTTTCTTAATTGATCCTAGTATTGTATAGGGCAAGAAGATGAAAGCTGATGATTCTCAACTAATTGAAAGTTACAATGAAGTTCACATCCAAAATGATCAGGTTTGTTGTTTTAAAATATTTTTAAAAATAGTATATTTGTTATCCTCAATGAAGTTGTATATATTTCTATTTATTGATATACATTTCAAATTTTGTAGGCGGTGATTGAACAATATGAATCTCAAGGTTCGATTACTAGACCTACAGGATATATTGATGCAGAGCACGACACGACAATATCTTTGAATAATATATCATACACTCAATTGTTACAGGTATAGAAAACAAGAATAATTTTTATGTATGTTCTATAATTTTATTTACTACTATTTTAAATTGATGTCAATTTTTCTCTTTTTTGCAGGAAGCAATAGCAAATTCTCATTTTGATGATCAAAATTTGTGACAAGATTTATGTTTCAACCGCCATGGATTATTGATTTTGTTTCTTTTATTCGGATATTCTATTTATGTTGGCACTGTAATACTAAGTATGGTGTTAAATTTTTTGTCAAATTATTTATGATATTGTGAGTTTTTTTTTTTGTATTTTGTACAATGGTCATATTACTTTGAAATTGTTAAAGTATTTCAAAATTTGAACGCATAAGTATCAAAATTGGTTCCAGTACACATGCAATTTTCACTTTCTGTTTCTTTATGTTGCAGCCAATTTTTTCCTATAGAAGAACATATAAACCTAAGAGATGATCTAATTAAATTAGAATCCAAAAGTTGCCTTCCCAGCTTCCCTCCGTCTCCCTGCCGTTTCCGTCCAATTTTTTTTTTTTTTCTTTTTTATTTTTTAATTCATAATGTGATTAATATAAAAGGATTAAAAAATAAGAGAAAAAGGAAGTTTGATTGGCCAATATGTGGCTGCCAAATGGCAGGTTGGAGCCTCTAGCTCCAACGGGGGTTGGACGCAAGAATTTCCCGTTTTTTAGTGTGGTGTGGGACTACTTTTTTATATTATAATAATAATTTTATTATTAATTAAGTTTTTTATCTCGTGAATATTGGGAGAGGTTCATTGAATTGGTTAGTCTCCACACAAAGTGAAATTAAATGGGAAGTGCTGTATAATAGAACGAGGGAAATTAAATTGTAGGAGTAAGTTGTGATAATATTGTTTATATTTTATTTAATAATTTGAAATAATAATAATTTATTAATTAAAATAATATAATATTGACGCTCTATTCACGCTCTTAATATTGAATTCTTCGAAAACTGACGCTCTGACGCTCCCGTTCTCGCTCTCGCTCCCGCTCCCGCTCCACGCTCTGGTAACTAAAGGTAAGATACATGACATGAACCCAAGTTTGGGTGCAAATTAAATCTTTGGAATAAAAATCATGGACAGGAGTTTTCCATATTTTTTGACAAACAAATTAGATCTTATTGCACCCAAGTCTTGTGCTCAATTCGAACACTGCATCTAACTTAATTGATGAATTGCCCTTTGACTTTTACCGCAACTACTTGAATTGATCATATACCCTTGAGATTCAAGAATTCAACTAGTCCATTTGAAAACTATATTTTTTTCATACTTATTGGGTAAGTATATATTTGTCGATGCCGCAAGATTTGGAATTGTCAAAGGACAGGAAAGGGGAAAAGGCTCATATATGCTTATATGGTGGTACAAGAGAGTGATTTGTCACTACATCACAATTCATTATTTATTTATGGATTAATTTCATTATGAAATTTAAACAAAGTGTCATTTGTTTCCTAAACTATTCAATATAACAAATCCGGTACAAACTATATGTGTTTCGTGATATTTGTGTACTAAACTATTCAATATGATAAATCTGGCACAAACCACATAAATGCTTATTAGATGTTCTGTTAAATGCTAACTGTTAACGCCAGTCAACATTAAAAAAACTTTCGCCTAGCATGCCTAGGCTTTTGAAGTGAAAATAACAAATATTGAGCAGAAATAACAGTTTTACAACACTTCTTGTTGGGGAGAGATTAGAGAACTACATTTTTCTCTTTCCCTTGGTCCACTAATTGTGTTTAAGCGTGGCGCTAATTGTCTAATCGCGACTCAAGGCGCTTATTCATGAGTAGACGCTGCTAAACTTTATAAAAAATTTTATTTCGCTGCCTAGAGCCTAGGCAATGCATTGTTGCCTAGGATAGACGACATGTTTGTTGTCAGCTAAATTGCAACTCTTCAATTTGGCAAAACCCGACTCAACACGACCCTCATTCATCCGGTGATGCGGCTGATGTCCTGCCATTTCGTCTATGGCTTTCTACTTTCGTTCGCTGGGTTCCACAACTAATAAAAAAAAGTTAGGTTGTAAACTCATAAAATTTATTTTTTTATGAAATAACATAATAAATCAAGGTGCAGTACGATAGAGGTGTTTGTATTCCTACAAGGCTAGTCTAGCTGGTGTAGTGTCTCATCATGAGTTCGATCACCAACTACAACGAGGTCTTTGAAGTAGTATCTATCAATGGTAAGATAGGCCAGCAGTGCCATCGCGAAGTAGGTCGTTCGGATATGTGTGAAGTTCTGGGTTCGATACTCCTCAAATGCTCGTATAGTGTTCCCGAAGACGTTTAACTGTTGAAAACGAAACCCATTGGCATAAACAATTGCAGCAAATGACTACCAAATTTGATCTCGCTCCGTCATCACATTACAAAGTACATGAGGTGGTGAGATATTCCTTGAGAATAAAAAAAATCTCATTCCATATTTTTTTAAGAAAGAAAGAAAAATAAGACACGTTATCCCCCTCCCTTCTTCCTTCTAGAGGCTGGCAGATGAGATGAGATAATTAGGTGTCAACTGTCCCATCTGAAAGTACTGGTTGGCAAATTCTAATTTATTTGCACTTGTGTGTATATATATTAAACAAATTTATTAGGCCAGGAATCTTTTATAGAGTTAATGATAAATTAAGCACACAGACATTGTCAGCTAATCTCTCCAAAATCCCCAAATTAGCGATTAAGATCATACACAGATGCAGAAAGAAACTAATTAAGGATTCCCTTACTCTAATTAATAAACAAACATTACAACTAATTAATCCCCAAAAATTTACACATGATTCCCCCACCTCCCTCCCATCATCCCCCCTTTTTTTTTCTTACTACAGGGTTAACACTACATAGAACAGTAATTCTAATTAGTTTAATTTAAATTCCCTTCTCCAGAGAAAAGAGGGAAGAAAAAAAAACAACATATTTATAAGACCAACCCTAAAACTGGAAGAAGAAGAAGGAAAAAAATTGCCAGAGAAAAAGATGGATGACGGGATCAAATAACTTTCCACGACTCCAGAGTAGGGAAATTGGAGAAAGTGCCAAAATCGAGCCCAGCACCGCCACCATCAGGCCCATCACCAACCAGCGCCTGCGAAAAGGACATTGGGCCCTCGGGCCCACCACCACCACCACCAGGCGTGACGGAGACGCTAACCGTTTGTTGCTGCTGCTGCTGAATCTGACGGTGATGGTCCAGCAAGAACGCTGACGTGTCCAGCGTCGGCAACAACCCACCACCACCGCCGCCGCCGCCTCCCCCGGCCGCCGCCGCGGCCACATGATGCTGCTGAAGCTGAATCGCACCCCCTCTGCCCAGCCTGTGCGGCTCCGGTTTCAGAACCGGGACCATGGCGTCGGTGAACCGGACCCCGCCGGTGACCTGCTGGACCATCTGCCGGAAGTTGGCCGGATCCGCCGTGATGAACGTCGTCTGGGACTTCTTCGAGGCGGCGCGCGACTTCCGCTTGGTGACCTTCCCGGTAGCGCCGGGAGCGGAGGAAGTCGTCGTCGAATTCGTGCTGCGGCGGGGCTTGGGAGCGGGGGTGGGAGCGCTGTCCGGGTCGGAGGAGCAGGAAATCGGAGTCGGGGTGTCCGGATTGCTGGTCGTCCCGGCGAAATTGGTGGGGAGGAGGGAGTTAATCAGAGAATCCTCACCGCCGCCGGCGGCGGCGGCGGAGGAGTAGTCGAGGGGTGGAGGAGGAGGAGGGAGGGAGGTGGAGAGGGACTGCTGGAGGGCTCTGGTGAGGGCGTCGGTGTCGCGAGCGTAGGCCTCGGAGATCCAGGAGTCGGGGAAAGTGGGGCGGAAGTTCCAGGAGTCGAAGAGGGAGAGATTCTCCGATGAGGAAGCCATTAGGTAAAATTGCAGAAGCTGGGTTTGAGGTTTAGTTTGTAATTAATTTTCAGAGCATGGTTTTTGGAGTGAAGAGTAGAATGGTGAGAAATCAGAAATGGGGGATGGAGAAGAGAAGGAAGGAGGAGATAAGGGCGAGGGGAATGACTTGGGGAAGAAGGGATGTGGTGTTTAGAGAGAGAGAGAGAGTGACCGGCAACCGGGAGAAGGGAGAGAGAAGGGGAGTGGGAGGGGAATGGGGGAGGTTGGGGAAAGAGGGAGATTAAATAGGGCGGTGGGAAGAAAGCGCGTTGCTGAGGGTGGGGTCGACTGAAGGACACGCGTCGGATCTTGCGGGTTTGGATTTAAAAAGCGATGCTTTCTTATTTTTTTTTCGTTTTGTATGGGCAAATCCATCTTTGCACCTGTCACTCACTCACTAGTCACTGCGTAATCTAGTTAGTAATGAGCTGTGTACATGGGCTGGGCTGGGCCGGGCCTGGTTTGATTAAAAATATACTTTTAGCGGCCCAAAATAGAGGGTAGATATATCCTGTAAATTTTGGAAGATATAAGAAATAATTAATGATTGTGATTTTCTATTCTGAAATGGGTTACGCTATTTGTTTCTCTTCATTTTCACATAACTCTTTTATGAACCTTATTAGTCTATTCTAATTGGGCTATATGATGCTAGCTTTAGGGATGGAATCTTATCCGGCGATTATTGCAAATATTATTTTCATACCTTTTGATCTCTCACTTTTCTCATAACTAGTCATGACAAATTATTCTTTTCATTATTTTTTCTACTCGTGATTTAGTCTCAACATTAATATGAAAGAGAACCCGTAGAAGTAATTAAACACATTTCCATTGTTTGTTATCAACTTTTGTAATTTCTCAAAATTACGAACTAAACATGTTTTAATCTTCTATACCATTTTGTTGCGGTTGTACTTCTGTTTTCGGTGCAACCAAAGGCAGAATGGCCTTATAGCTTGTTTTCTCCATGGATGACTCTAGCGTGGGTTGCTCTGTTTATCTTTTACTACAAACTTGAACAACTTTATTTGAATTTAAACAAACAGCAGTACAGCACAATCATTAAGAATTACTATTTCAAGGATATTAACCAATAAGTAAAAGTGAGGAAAAAACCGAATTAAGAGTGTAAAGTTACTGTTGAATTGGGGTCCAGTTAGTTTAGAGGTTAGACATTCTATATGGTCTTTACTCTTTAGACCGTAGTCTATTTATACCATCTTGTTTGCTCAGCATAAGTCTTCAATGTTAATCTTTATATTAATCGGTTTATCAAATAAATAACTAACGTTGCAGTCAAATATGTATTCCTATTTCTTTTCATTTTTTAAATGATTTCTCTCTATCAAACTACAAAATCTTATGAAGTCTTTTTTAGTCTCTTTTACACAATTCACATATGTCAGCAATTTTCTTTATAGTTACAGAATTCACAACTTATGGGACGCGTATCATACACTTGATTTTCACTTCTAATATTTGATGAAGTCTAAATATTAAGAGATGTAAACCTTGTTATTCGAGCATGTTTATTTTTTGAGTACCAAAATTATCAAATTATGTCGTGGGCCAAGTAACTAATGTGGTAGGTTCACCTATAGGAGATATCATATTTGCTTTGAATAGACCCTTTACCGGCGTCCAATAAGAAACACCACCATTTTACACACTCGCTATGGAGAAAAGTGACATTTAACAACATTTGAAATATGTTGTAAGAAATATCAAAAGTGTTTTTGATAATCAGGCCCTGTATAAAATATCAAAAGTGTTAGATAGACGATATACAATACTTTTAACGTAATAGATAACATTTTTGCAACAATAAAAATTAAAAATATGATCACTATTTTGATGTAAAATAATAGTGTGGTTGTCGACAGCTTAAATGCAGAACTCTTTTTTTAAAAAAAAAAAGGTAAATGCAGAACCCAATGTGGTTGCCAACGTAAACAAACATCTGGGGTTTCATTCATATGACGAGCAATATCCCACAAACTTTTGAATGAGTGATTGAGATGGTTTTAAAGTATTCGGTGGGCTAATTAGCTAGCACTGCAATGATGTAATCTACCTTGCTACCTACTCACCTACAGATTTGGATTTAGGGATAAAAAGATTATCTTTTACATGACCTATAATATTTATTATTATCTCTTGATATATATGAATGACTTCACTACACTTACAGCTACAAATGAGGTAAGCCGCTCGCGAGCAACTTGGCGTTCGAATCGGAAAAAAATTCGTTCGACACTCGACTCGTTATTTAACAAGCCGGCTTGCGAGTCAACTCGTTAGTAAACGAGCCAAACTTGAGTCAGACCAGGCTCAGCTTGATTAGCTCGCGAGCTAGCTTGATTCGGTGGCTTGTTGAGCTAAGCTCGTGAGCTGCATTGTTAAGAACATGTGTAAGGCTGGATTACTCTTATGAACATGAACATTATCTTGTTAATACAGATATGTATGGAAGTTAGATGTTATTTTTAGTTTCAAATGTTCTTTTTATCATTTTAATTCTTATGTTTACACATTTTTCAGCAATAATGATTTCAAATCGAGCTCATCTTGAGCCGATCTTATACTCAGCTTGACAAGCTATATTAATGAGCATTTAGCGAGCTCTACCAAGTCGAGCTCGAGCTAGATTATTTTTATTCAAGCCGAGCACGAGCTCGAGCTAGACTATCAAAATTCGAGTTCGAGCTGAAAAATTTATAAACAAGCCGATCTCAAACTAAGAAAAAACTCGACTCAACTCGGCTCGTTTGCAGCCCTAAGTCTACACTACCGCCTGTTAAAAGAGTGTATAAGATCCAGCAGAACCTTCTCTCAACAACTCGAGTTAATAGACCAACTGGTTTATGACATGGTAATAGAGCTGGTTTGGCCAAGTGGTCGTGTGTTCGAATCTCCACGACCCCCAATATTAACCGTTGATTAAAGCACAAGGTATGGAGGGCCTGTGCAAACTTCAAGTCCATGGGTTGGCTTTCGCTTGACGGGACGTGTTAGAGAGTGTATAAGATCCAACAGAACCTTCTCCCAATAACTCGAGTTATTGGGACCAACTGGTTTATGACACCCCGCCGATATATTCTAATTAGGCGATTTAACTCAAACTCACGGGTACCCAATCTGATCCACAGGAGTAAACTTCAGTATTTAGGGTTTTGAGTCGCATGCGAGTTTTATTCGCTTTTGAAACTAGCAAGTTGGTTTGGTGTTTTTTCTACACTTACAGTTGCAATTGGTAGATCATTGAGTTGTTCTTAATATGGCTGATGCACTTTTGTTTCCGCCATTAATTGAGATAATTACTCATGGACAACTTGTTGTCGAAAAATAGTGTCAACCAATAAACTAATTCTGTGTAACGACAAACCATCCTTATGTTACTTGTAGTGGGTACGATAATTTGTTTCTCTCGAAAAATTACCCCGTCGTGTGACATAGGGACAAAGTGGCCTGGCTCTGCCCATGCTTACCATTCGAAGTCTATATCGATGCAACACTCAGGAACGATGCAGAAAAAGTGCATGGCATTGTTTAGTCTTGCAAGTGTGATTTCGGATAGTGGTAATCCATACATATATGATCGTATGAGCATCTCGGGCTGCCCTTTTTGAGCGGATGGTAGTTTTCTTACCAATCTTCCTCCCATTGTGTAGCAAAAAATCAATTGATCAACTTTGTTGCTAGTTATTAGTGAGAGTCCATCCATCCCTATATATAGATCCCCCCAATCTTACTATAAGAATGGTGGGAAAAGGGGTCTATTTCTAATGTGAAGGGTAAGACTAAAAAGAGGTGGCTTTCTTCTTCCTTCCAAAGGGCTTTCTTCGTTTGTTTCTGATATCAGTAGCAGCAGCAGAGGCCTCAGTCTGGAGATTGCGACTGTGAGGATTTTGACTGACTGTCAATCCCGCGTCCTGCTTTCCGCGTTAATTCCATCTTGCGCGTCCCAATCCCCGCCTTTTTTTTAGTTCCTAGATTTATTTATTTATTCGTAGTCCGCAGATTTCTTTCCTTTTTTAATTTGGAAAAACAACGAATCTTTTTTTTCTGGTTTTGTTTGTTTGTATTGTACCCATTTTTGCATTATCACTCTCCCATAGTTTTTTTTTTTCAGACATTTCCTTTGTTTTCTAGACAACGGCCCCCATGCTCTGTCCTTTATTAAAAAAAAAGAAAAAAGAAACAGTATTTTTATGTTATTTTGACTATTCATCGACTTTTACACTAATTTATTATTTTCTTCCCATGCGATCATGCATACGTTAGTGTGACCACAGAGGGTTTTGCTCCTACAACTGGACTAACCTCGACCTCGATCTCCGCGGAGGAGAAATTAATAGTAAATTTATGTAAATCACTTTTATTGTATTTAATTTATAGAAATTGAAACTTGTCGCTCAAGTCAACCCTTGGTGGGTGTGCTGCTAATGCTAAGTTCGAGAAAAAGGGAATATTCCTTTTTTTTTTACTAAGATTGAATCGAAGAGAGTGCACTCCCGTGACAGTTTCGAAGACTTGTGTCTGCGTGAATCGTGGATGATTTTTATATGTGCAGTTTTTATAAGTATCCGTTTGCTCTTTTTCTTTTTTGGTGAGAGTATCCGTTTGCTCTTTATTTGAAGGAATTAGCGGATGATACCAATACATTGTTTTTTTTTTTAATTATAACGAATATCATTGTTTTTTATAACGATTATCCTAGTCCGCGATTTTAAATACAACCTAATGTTTAATTATTAATTTATTATCCAAACTTATGTAACATTAATGTTCAAATACTAAAATTAGTCAAATGTTAACTTTCAGTTAACAATTTTGTTAGTAATAATGACTTAGCAATATTATACTGCCTTGAAAGAGATACATGAAGGTCAACATTTCAAAATTTTAGTATTTGAACTAAGAAAACAGTTACAATATTATTAACGATAACGTAAAAATGAATAATATTTTGATGT